ATATACCGTAGCCGACGGCAACGCTCAGCAAGGTTTTTAAATTGACCATAAACTCAATTATGAGAAAGCATACTTAGGTATTGATATTTCATTTTCTAATACGAACTGTATACTAAAATGGCATCAAGATTAGGCACAGAAATATAGATGCCATAGAAACCCTTGAGAAAAATGATTGGCAGACGGCTTAACTTTGGCAATGCACTCACAGTGTGGAATGTTCTACTTGTGTAAAAGCAAAACTAACTGAAAATTCTTATCCCAAAACTAGTTTTAGATCTAAAAATCCACTGGATTTAGTGCACACAGATGTGTGTGGGCCAACTGAAGTCAACAGCTTAGGAGGGAAAAGATATTTCGTAACTTTCATTGAGACTATTTACGTTATACTCAAATTTATTTTATTACTTCAAAAGATGAAGTATTTGACAAACTTAAACAGTATGTTGCATCGACAACAAATAAATTTAGAAAGAAAATAAAGGTTCTCAGATCCGACAATGGTACAGAATACTGTAACAAAATTACTGAAAATTACTTAAAGAAACTTGGTATTTTCCATGAAACTTCGGTTCCTTATTGTCCGGCACAGAACGGCGTCGTAGAAAGGAAAAATCGCTCTTTGATAGAAATGACAAAAGCTATGCTAATAAACTCTAAATTACCGATAGGATTCTGGGCTGAAGCAGCTGCTACTGCCGCATATCTTCAAAATAGGTTACCAACTAAAGCCACAGATAGAACACCATATGAATTGTGGAATGGTAGAAAACCAAACTTAAGTCACTTACGAGTATTGGCTGTAAAGCATTTTTCCTATGTGAACAAACAAAAACGGTGTAAATTCGACAACAGAGCTGAAGAAGGAATATTCGTAGATACGATTTACGAAGTAAGGGATACAGGATTTATGTAGGTGGAAAGAAATAATAGTAAGTTAGAACTGTTAAATTTTCAGAAAACGCATCTTTAACTGACAAACATGCAGAAAATAATGCTGAAGATTTAGAATTAATTCACTTCAATAACTCGCAAAAATGAAGAAAATAATGAAGAAACATCTCTTGGCGATGATTTACAGAAGATTCAAAAGTTCTGAAGAGTTAATTAAATGTGAAGAAATGTAGAAAGAGGGTTTCTAGCAGATCAACCAAAGGGGTCCCACCCCCCGGAAAGATTCTCCTATAAAGCCGAAGACGAAGAATCAATCTTACCTAAAAATAAAGATCCAGAAAGCTTTGAAGAAATTCTAAACTTACCAAAACGTGACAAGAAATTTGGTTCAAGGCTAGCAGAAGAAATACATTCTCTAAAAGAAAATGAAACCTATACACTTACAGAATTACCACCAGGAAAACATGCAGTAGGCAGCAATGGGTGTTTAAGACAAAATATGATGAAACTGGTAAAAATAAAATACAAAGCACGCTTAGTAGCCAAAGGATTTACTCAAAAATACGGCAGTGATTATGATGAAACTTTTTCACCAGTAGTGAAACACACTACGATAAGAGTTTTCTTAGCATGGGCAGCGTATAATAATGCCAAAGTACATCAACTAGATGTTAAAACAGCCTTTTTGTATGGCAACTTAAATGAAGAAATATATATGGAACAACCAGAAAGATTCTTGGTTCCAGAAGAAAGACATAAAGTTTGTAAATTACAGAAGTCGATTTATGGTCTCAAACAAGCAGCTAGGTGCTGGAATGCAGAAATTGAAAATACATTGAAGAATCTTGGGTTCAGTCAAGGCAAAGCAGATTCGTGTCTTTTCACAAAAGTGGTTCGTGATAAAAGAATTAATTTAATAGTGTATGTTGATGACATCCTAATAAGTTCTACAGAAGAAGAACTAATTCTTCAAACAATTAATGATTTAAAGAAACGTTACCAAATAATGCATCTTGGTGAAGCTAAATATTTCTTAGGCATGGAAATAAATCACAAGGAAGATGGAAGTTATCTCTTATCACAGAAAAATAAAATAAATCATTTTGTCAAGCAATTTCAACTTGAAGAAGCGAAACCCGCTAGCACACCAATGGAAATAAACTATTATAACCTAAACAAGGAAGAAAATCTCCTAACTTCAAATGATAAATTTCGTCAAGCTATTGGAAGTCTCTTGTATATATTGTCTATCACAAGACCAGATATCACAGCTTCAAATCACATACTCAGCAGAAGGTGTAATAATCCACGTCAAAAGGACTGGAATGCTGTTAAAAGAATCATTAGATACTTAAATACGACAAAGAATCTATCCTTACAAATTTCGTCGAGTGAAGAACTTAATATTACAGTTTATTCAGATGCTGATTGGGGACAAGATATTGAAGATAGAAAATCTACACCAGGAAGTGTTATTTTATTAGGAAAAAACTGTATTTCGTGGTTTTCAAGAAAACAAACTTGTGTTTCTTTATCCTCAGCAGAAGCTGAATATGTTGCACTATCGCAAGCTACGCAAGAACTATTATGGCTATTAAAATTAACAGAAGATTTCAATCTACCCCAAACTCTACCGATAAAGGTATTTGAAGATAATCAGTCTACTATAAGACTTGTAGAATCTGAAAAATTCAGTTCACGCACAAAACATATTGATACAAAAGTTCATCATATACGCGACTTGAATAACAAAGGAATAGTAAAACTTGCTTATCTTTCGACAGAGCAAACAATTGTTGATATTATGACTAAACCAATTCCTAAAGCTAAATTTCAGTTTTGCAGGAATGAATTGCAATTAGTATGAGTTTCATTAGCAAAACAGGGGCAATGTTAGCATAAATTTAGGTATTTTGCATAATGAAACTCAAAAGGCATACAAAATGAACGTGCACCAAGATATATATTGGCCAGATAAAGTGAAGTTTGTGTGCAATGCAGTATATTCGATTTTCACCCTAGCTACTTGTACCTGGCCAAAGGTCTAATCCAGTAGTACTTTCTTCTCTTTCAGGTACGATGGCAAAGTATGTTCGTGTTTCTCCTTTTTATTGCCTAAAATAGGTAAGCCTGATGATATTTAGGACTGATGAAGATTCTATGTAAGTTATCTTCTTTTCGATACTTCAGTGTTTTAATGTCCATGAAGATAATTACTTTTTGTTATGCTTAAGTTAAGCAGAATTATCCTACTTTATTAAATAAAGATTTCGTAGTTAAAATTTTGACTTATGATTCTTTAATTCTGTGCTTGAGGAAACGTACTCATTACGCCTTCAGTGCTAATGCACAACCAACAAAAGATCCAGTCTACCCAATCCAGGTGGTTACAAATTACTGCCCACTAAATTAAAATTTGGATACAACAATAAAAATTATTATGTTTTTTTAAGAATAAAGTGTGAAGAACTTACCATGGCTTACTGAGATTTGATTGATGGACTTTCCACTGAAAGCTGCAGATGTAATTCATTTACATCACAACAGCATACAAATGGAAATATAATAATGCCTCATAAATTGTTTCATTTATTAAATAATGCAAAGGTTTTATTTGAAAGACAAAAAATAAAATTAAAAAAAAAAATAATAATGCCTGTTGCATGGAATGGCAAGATTTCCAGAACTGGCAATTCACCAGGCTACATGTAATGATAAATGACAATGTAAACTAATCTGACACTAAAAAGCTGATGCATACAACACATGACTTCCTTGTACGACTTCCTATGTATGGATTTTTTCCTGCACTTCATTTAAACTTATTTCCTTGAATTTCATTAGAGATATATTTCTCATATAATTAATTCAGTTCTCACAAACTCAAAATATTTTCATTAAAAATTTAAAGCTATAGGGAAACATAAAACACCAAATACAGTTAAAACAATTAAAAAAACAATATTTACAATTAAAATTACAGTTTCTACACAAAAACAAGCAATTCAGCCAGCAAGTAAGAAGGCAAATTTTTTGGTGCACAAAAGTAAAAGTCTCCTTTTGTGCCACTTGGCAAAAAGACACTGAAGGATTAGAAAGAATACACTATTTCGCTAAATTTCGAATGTAAACAAATATGGCTGCTACGATTAAAAAAAAATAGGCTTAGTTGCACTTAAACAACTTTTAAATTGCTGATAATTCTACAAATATTGCATGCAGATTAACTAAAGGCATAAAATCATTAACCAGTAGATAGATGAGAATAACATAATTCAATCATTTTTAAAGCAAAAATATATAATTTATATATATACTTTTGGTGCAGCACATTTCAACCAAAAAGAGTACACATCTACATGTTATAGCAGTCCTATATACAAAATTTCAACATTCTGAGGCTACTCGTTTTTGAGTTATGTGAGATACATATGTATGTATGTACAGACACTATGAAAAAAATCTCTTCTGAATCCATTTTAAACCAGTTTTATATTTAGTTTTGAGGAAAAGAGTCCTTTATTCTGTCATTACATACAGATGTCATGCAAAAGATTGTTAAATTGCATTCAATAGTGGTCAAAATGGGATATTTTCATTGAAACAGGTACCCAGAATTTTTCATGATTACAGTACTTCCTTTACTTCGTACAAGGAAGTAAAAATGGAAAGATATATATGTGTTTCCAACATTATACTTGTAATAGTAAATATAACTTTGAATGCAAATTATTTACAGGTTTTTGAACCCACTACTACTTGAAAGAACATAAGTAATATAATATTGATGTTACGTATAGTAATTGGAAAATAAACTATTAAAAATAAGCATTTTGAATGTATAACTACTATAAGAATAATGGATTGTTTATTTAAATGGTTTTTTTCTTTTACAAATAAAAAGATAAACCAAATAAAAATAAAAGTAAATAAAAAGATAAACCAAAACTATAAATGATCTCCATTAAATTCAAAAGTTTGTCTCATTAAATTACATACATCCTTATATGATAAATTTCCACAAAATTTAAATATTCTTCATACAGCTAGTGATTAATTATACTTTCAAAGACAGAAATAATAGTTTAAGTAAAAGACAAAGTTACCAGAGGAGGTTGTTTTTTCCTCCACTATAGAAGGTATATGTGGAGTAAAAGAACCCCAAAATGGTAAAACATCTGGAAGCAAATACAGCAAATTAAGCAAGTGTTAGTAGTTAAGCAATTGCAAGCAATTCATATATTTTACAAAAATAGTGCAACTAGCTCAGAGAAAACAAATATAGATATTCACTGCTCATTTATAAATTAAAAACAAAAATTTTAAAAGCATAGAATATTTGATCAAATTTTAAATTTGCACAGACAAAAAGTTATAACAGAGAAAAGAAACAGAAGAAAATAAGAGGAGATAAGCTCTACAGAGGTACAAGTACCTCTGTATACATGCTTTTCAAGTATAGTGAAATCTGTATACAATAGGATATTCCCTAAAATATGTCATACTTTATGAAGTACAATTTGAATGGGAAACCATTCAAGGCATTTCTGCATGTCATAAATATATATAAAAATTAACTTAGCACTCAAGTATCTTAAAATATTTATTCCCATAGAACATTATAACTTTATACACTGCATCTACTAAAGTTCTTAACCATCCTTTAGTCAAACGATGACAAGTTTTAACAGGTTCAAAATTGTATTGTTTTAGTTAAATGCATCATAGTGAATTCCACACATACTCTTAATGTGCACGAACTTATGAACTTACCCGATATAACAAAGAGTATTTTACAAACTGTGACATGCAAAAGATGTATAGGCTCCTACAGAAACTAAACAATTGTTGCAAGGCTATATAATGAATAGTTCCCTAAGAGACACGTGTTTCCATTAGCAACTATATGAATCACATAAACTTAAAATTGCTGAAATAAAAATATTGTTCATATTGTTTCATAGTCATTGTTTCATCTCCTATTAAACTTTATGCAGAGTTTCATATACATATTACAGATGCATATTACAGACATTTTTCATATACATATTACAGACATTTCATATTGTTTCATAGTCATTGTTTCATCTCCTATTAAACTTTATGCAGAGTTTCATATACATATTACAGATGCACAAACATAAAAATTGTTTAAATACATTCAAATCACTTTGTTTACTTACAAAACAAATTATAAATGCACAAATAAAAATAATATCTTTACAAAAACCGTCGGGTTAATTTTCTATTCTACAAATTAATAATCTATCTATATATAAACAAAAGGAAAGTAGAACTATTTAAGAATCCTGCACCTAAGGCTGCATAGATTTAATAAATCATAAAAATCTTATTAATGAAATGGGAAATAGTCCTATCAAAACGTCCAGCTAAATAAAAACTAGGAATTACAATTTGAAGGTCTACATTAATTCCAGTTAACTACGTCATAATAAGAAAATAAAGAAATTAAAAAACAGAAATTTATATTCTAAAAACCAAAAGGTAACAGAAAAAGGTGAAAGTTGAAATCAAAAAGAAAATTAGTCTTTCAAGCACTAGCTAATAGTTGCAGAAAAGCAAAAATTATTGCAAATTCTACTCAAATTTTAGCAATATTACAGAAAAAAAAGACTGAAAAATGAACAATTATAAAGATAATGAAATTGTTCTGACTCATTGGGGGGATTAGTTTATTTCACTCTCTTTCCAACTGCTCAGACATCATGTTTCACCCTTGTCATGCATACATAATTAAAAATTTTTTTTTAAAATTTTATACTTAAATTCTCAATGCCTGAAATTTAGCCAACCCATATACATGCCAAGAATTTAACACAACCCAGACACAATATAAATCAATTTAAAACATTCATTTAAAAATTAAAAAAGTTAGAACAATACACAATTATTAAATTAATAATTAGATCAAAACATGTAAAAAATGTGTAAATAAAACAGAATACCCTACAGGGTGTCTCAAAAGATTGTTGCCAAACTTAATATGCTTGTCTGTCATACCATGACAAACAAGATTTATATAGAAACTTCTGTCCGAAAATGTGAACGGCAACCTGAAGAGGACAATGTTCGCAAGCAGAGAGGGGAAGATATAAATAATGTCGAAAGAGGTATTAATATGACTTTTATTACAGAACATAGTTAAATCATAGAAGATGTTCAAAATTCCTTCCATTTGCCAAATTGCATGCTTCACAACATTGATGCATGGATTCACGAACCCATTCAAAAAATGAAAAGGTGTGTCACGTACACATGCTGCCTGGCATGAGATCCATGTCTGATGTTATGATCATCTACATGGACTTCATGTCCATATCCATGGACCATGGACTTCATGTCTCTCCACACGCATAATGAAATCAGATGTTTCGGCATGTAGCTGCTGGAATGTCAGCCCTTTCCACAAGATGTTCATAAAGAACTGAGTTAATAAACCAAATCATCATTCTTCTGCAACGCCCTTGCCTGAAATGATCACACTTCCCATTCTCCCATAAACCTGCGAACATTGACTTCTAGCAGTCACCATTCACATTTTCAGACATAAGTTCCCATGTAAATCTTGATTGTCATGGTATGACAGGCCAGCATGTTAAGTTTGGTAAGGATTTTTTGGGACACCCTGTATATTATAAAAATACTAAAATATATTCAATGAAATGAAATTTTCATATTTTAAATAATAATAAATTAGGCCAGAAAATTTTTTAAAAGCTACGATAAACTTTCTTCAGTACAACATACAGTGTAACTAACAATTAATGGTTTTTTCTCTTTAATCGCAAAGGCAGACTTGTAATGTCTGCAGTTGCCAGATTTAAGATAATGGCAAAATTAATTATAAAGCAGGTAAAAAATGGCAGTTAGCTATGGCATGGCTAGACAGTACAACAGGCTATTCATTCGAAAAAGAGCAAGAGATTCGAAAGAGAGTTTTACTTAAAGAACCCATATCTGAAATTTCTGGCAAAAAGCCATGAAACTGAAAATAAGATAGAGAAAAAGATAAATATCTTTAAGCAAAACAAGCTGTAATTGCGACTTAGGAAAATAAATGGTAGTTAAAGCATAGAAGGCAGAAATAGAGAATATTTTACATTTTTATGCTGTACAATTTTACTTCCATACAAATCTTCCACTCTAAGACATCCAACTTTAGAGAACTTCACTTATAGATACATAGGTTGACTGAGAGTTTAGCAAGTTCTAAATGTTAGCTTAAGTATCATCAGTTTAATGAAGAATGCCCTTGTGGAGCACTTTCTAAATGTAACAAGAATGTATTTGTCACACAGAGTGACTGTGAAAGCTTGTATAAACCACAGAGTCTTATAAAGGGTTTAAGTCCCTTTTTATTCAACGTAATAAATTACAATGGCGTCCTCTTGACGCTTACAGACTGTGCCCACTAGGCAGTCAAAATAAAAATAATAACCTGAAAAAGAAAGTAAAGACAAGATTCTAACTACGAGGCTCTCTAAAATAACTAACTCACCGCGTTTTACAATACGGCTGCTAATTCAGCAGACTTGAAGCTCACTGGAACAATTTCCACTAATTCCCGCCAAGCACATAGGCCGCAACGCGGGGTTCTTCAATTCTCGATAACTACCTCTGCGCTCGCTAAGTAAGAATAACTCTCTCACCGAACTCGTTTCCTTCTATTTAAATCATAATACTTCCGCTGATAATTTGAATCCTTGCGCGTTCTAGTCAAATTTACATATTCTGACATTGGCAGTTCCAGGGGAAAGTAAGGCTTGACAGGAAAGATAGTTTAAACTTAAAATAAATGTTAGTTAAAATAAATATAAACCCTACATTTGCCGCTGCCAGAATTTGGAAAACTTGGAAGCAGGTCCTACAAACGACCTGTTGTAAGTTTATCTAATTCTGAACTAACTGGCGAAAGCCTCGTTTACACAAAAAAATCTTATGTAACAATTATATATTAAAATTCTGTTATTCGTTACAAAGCTTTCTTCTTACAGCCACTTTTCCTGGACTTCATCAATCAATCTTGGTCTTTCCTTCCAGCATCTGGAAGGAATAAGTATCAGTATCTTTCTACATACATTATAATTTACACTTTCTTGACACAATAAATTTTTGTTTTTAACGATTCGTTTTTCTTAGTTATTGCTTACTTCACATTCATTCAATTTTTCAAGCATTAATTTAACTTTATCCTGGCTCTCCACCATGTGTGGTGTCAAACGGGAATATTCGTGTTTTAGTCTTACAACACTTCCCCTAACCACCATGATTTGTTAGAATTCAACAACCAAATAGACACACCTTACTCGACATTCTACAACTCAATGAGCTACTTCAATATTCTTAAAAAATTCAAATGTAGGTGGAGAACCCTACAAAACATATTCATTCTAGCTTCCCCCTCATTCATCTTTAAACATGCAGGCTTTCGCTCTAAAGCATGACTTTACAGTTTAATACTTAAATTTTGACTTCATTGCTTTTAAGCATTCACTTTTAGCATCTACAATTTTATGCTTCTAGACTAAATTCTATTTTTACATAACATGCAAGTATTTACATACATTTACAAAAGTTTAATACATATGCTTTTTACAATTTACCATAAAATGAATAAGAGAAAATAAATTTTTACTTTACTCATTCTTCGCCAAGCTGGCGGCACTGGAACTAAAATTCTTATTAGTACAAGAATACGAAGTTATTTTTATCTCCGGCCAAATTTTGGCTTTAACATAACAGAATTAGTCTTTCGACCAACAGAAAATGCTTGTTTTTTGCTTTTACACTTAAAGAAAATAATACTTTTGCCTTAGCTAAATAAAGTAAAACAAAACTAAGTCTCAACCGAGACATATTGACTTTCGTCAAAACATAGAACTTCGTACTTATGCATAACATTTCGGAACAAAAGAGAAAAATATTTATAGAAGGTTTTAACTTATCTTTGAGTTTTCGATGCTTGAAATTCCGTCCTCCGTTTTTGGCAAAATTGATCCCAAGTTAGAGGTGTCATGGATGTCAATCTTCTCCTTATTGAGTGTCGTCCCCGTTGCTCTTTCTTTTGCGTCCTCTACATGCTGGCCTCTTGACGGAGTAATCGTCTGGTTGTTGGCCTTTGCGTTTCTGCCTGGGACGGCTGGTCTTGACGTCCTCC